TCTTTTTTAAACCTTAATATTATAAAATAATAAATATAATAATAATTAAGGGCTATGACTATCGATATTCTGATTTGCTGCCCACTTCGTGGACAATATGTTCGATGATAAATATTATTTATTGTACTTACTTGCTATATTAATGCAAGTGATTTAGATTTACTGTAAAAAATTTTGGTTTACAGTACTTACTCGCTATAGTGATACAAGTGATTTAGATATGGATATGTTAGTTTTGTATTGGAATGAACGTGATTTCTATAGTGATTTACTGTAAAAAATTCTTACCGACTATTGAGGTGATACAAATGATTTAATGTTAGTTTTGTATTGGAATGAATGCAATTTCTAGTGATTTTACTGTAAAAAATTCTAGTTTACTGTACTTACTAACTATTGTGGTGATGATTTATATATGGATAATATCGAAATTAACGTAATTTCTGTAGTGATTTATTGTAAAAAATTCCGATTTACTGTACTTACGAGCTATAGTGCAGTAGTGATACAAGTGATTTAGATATGGTTATGTTAGTTTTGTATTGGAATGAATGTGATTTCTACAGTGATTTACTGTAGAAATTCTGGTTTCTGTACTTACTAGCTATATTGATGCAAGTGATTTAGATATGGTTATGTTGCTTTTGTATTGGAATGAACGTGATTTCTATAGTGATTTACTGTAAAAAACTCTTACGTACCGACTATTGAGGTGATACAAGTGATTTATATATGGTTATGTTTAGTTATGTATTGGAATTAACGTAATTTCTATAGTGATTTATTGTAAAAAATTCTGGTTACTGTACTTACTCGCTATAGTAATATAAGTGATTTAGATATGGATATGTAGTTTTGTATTGGAATGAATATGATTTCTATAGTGATTTACTGTAAAAAATTCTTACCATCTATTGTGGTGATACAAGTGATTTAGTGTTATGTTGGTTATAATGAATGACTAAAAATTCTGTTACTGTACTTACAGACTTGTGATTGACATAATGATAAGTTCTAAGCTTTTTTAATTTACAAATGCATATAATACTTACAACCCCATAACTAAATCATAAGCCTTCTTTGCCCATACGTCATTTGGTTTAATTCTTAATAATTTCTCCAAGTCATGGATTGATTCATTATACCTTTTCATCATATAATTAATTTCTCCTCGATATTTTAATGCTATTGTATTATTTGGCATTATTTCTAGCAATCTAGTTACTTCCAATGCTTCATTATATTTGCCCATAATAAAATATATTTTTCCTCGGTAGGCTAATTCAAATACATTAATTGGTTTCCTTCTTTTTTTTAGTGATTTTGTTAATTCGTCGGTTAAATTAGCAAGCATATTTTCATATCCACCCATAATAAAATAAACCTTTTCTTGATATTCTAATGCTAATGCATTATTATTTGGTTTTAAACTAATATCTTCATTAGTCATTGCTACCAATTGAAATATATATATATTGACAAAATTAAATTTTAAACAAGCTAAAAGAGATTAATCTCTTTGCCGAAATTCACTTCTACTGACCCGCCTTGCGATCTAAATCCAATACAGGGATATAGAATGCCTTCGAAATCGCTATGTAGATGGCACGCAATTCCTTAAAATATTTTATAATTATTGAATTTTTATCTATTTACTTTAATAAAATGTAAACTTCAGTTTCTAAAATGTTGGTTACCCAAATTAATTCCATTTTTAGTATAAAACACCATCTTATTTCTAAAATTTAGATAGCATCCAACTACATCACCAGTAGTAAATCCGGGAGGATATGATAAATCATACAGCCTATCACTTCCTGAGCAAAAGGAATATCCATCGTCACCATGGTAACCACACTCCCATGATTCATTTTCCTTATTTTCCTGTCCTAAAAGATATGACATAGGCGTTAATCTATAATAATGGTGTTAATCTATAATAATAAGAAAAACCAGGCATGAGCATATTATTTACATAATTTGAATCGTCAATTTTTTTATCGCTTTGCTTTGTACAATATCCGAATCCAATCATTCTATTAAGAAAACAGAATTAAAAGACTATAAAAATCACCAGAACAAAGGTGATGTTTATGGTACGAAATAATTATTAATATTACCCATTTTTCCTTTATTTGTAATTTTAATTTCAAAGTAAAACATCCCACATTCTGAAGGGATTATTTGCTCGAACGATTACAGCTTTATAGTCATCAGGATCTTTAATTAGAAGGTTTTTAATGAATTAAATAGTTATGATGATATTCTTTAAATGCCGATGATTACAATAACATATTAAATATGTTTCAGCGAGATTTCTCATTTATATTACCTGTATAACTTATTTTAAGTCCACTTGAATCTATATCAATAAATGGCGATTTATCTTCAATATTCCATGCAGTCGATAAAACAATATCATTGTACGAAGTTACTAATTCTAAATCTCCCATTTCTGTAAGTTGAACTTCAATTCAGATTTTTTGTTAATGAACAAAAGTGTAGAATATTAAACGAACACAATGTACAGTACTATTTATGTATGCGTATTTGTATTCTGTACTAGTGTTACAAGCTAAACGATAAGTATATTCATAACTTTAATATTATTAATGATATATTCGTTTGTTTAAAATATGAGAATAACTGCGAATAGACGATCAATTATGCGGATAGCTGCGAATAAGATAATTATAACTACTTTTTCAGCATGAATCATGTGGAAGCATTGTATATTATGTAATTATAAGTCAAATATATAATACCAAATATATAATATGTAATGGTTTCGACCGCCCATTAACAACGAAGCTTCATAATGTTATGTAAACCTGACGAAACAATGTTGGAATAAAGATCCAGAAAACGGTTAGCAGAAGAGCTCTGAAGTTTTTAAAACATGGCAAAAAGATTATCAAATTTTAACGGAACTAAAATACCTAAGCATATTGGAAATTTTGACATAAATGCAAATAGTGGTAGCAAACTAATTAGTTTATATACAGTAATCAAAATCAAAATAGCATTTCTCGGAGCTGTGATCAATATTTTATAATCGATCCTTAACTGTTAAGATAATATAGTTAGAAAATAAAAATATATTGAAAAATAGCCTCTTTACATTTTTAAATGGAATTTAAATACTGTATCATTTAGACATTATCAAGAAGCTGCTAAAATATGTACAAAAAAAAAAAAAAAAAGAAAGATCTCTAAACAATGATTGAGTCGAACGTGTCTTGAAAGCGAATTCAGTTTAGAACTTTAAACGAGTTATGACAATTCAATTAAATGTTAAATGTATAGCAAAAGAATCTTAACATCTTAGCATTGATGTAGATAATAACGTAAATGCCAACCAATCAATGATTTCATCGATAGTCTCAAAACGGCATTTTTAAAATAAGTTACTTCAAAGGTTTTTGGCGTAGAAGGAAAAAAATATAGATACGTAGTATAAAAATATGATAAACAAAAATTTTTATTATAATTAAGAAAACTAGTTATATAAATGTTAGCTTAGAAGTGAAAAACTGGTTTTCTTCACAAAATCTATAGATCGCTGCAACTTACAGAACCCACTTGACCTCTATATCAGATCATAACGATAATATTTAAAATTTTAATAACGATAATGATTATTTAAAAAATAACGTATATTTATTTTTCTCAATGCACATAACAGCTCTACCGCTATAATAAGCAAGTATATAAGTTTTATATAAACTTATAACTAACGCTATCGCTAAATAATAACATATTATTCAGAATGAATATTTTGATATTGATCTATATTCATTTTTAAAAATGTCATTCTTTTAAAAGTACCGAGAAAATTTTTTGTTCTCTTTGATGCATTAAGTTATCAGCATTACTGAATAAACGTCCTGCTAATTTAGATAGTATTGGAAATTTCTTTGAATGTAAGTCCCACCATGCCAAGGGATCTTTATTGAGACTTATTTCAGGTTGTCTCATATACTCATTAGAGTCAGAAACGTTAGAATCTCGTCTTTTGTTAGATTAATATTTAAAACGGATAACCGGATATCTGACAAGTAAACAAAGTCTATCCAAGTATAATTATTTTTCAGATAGCGATAGTTTATTATAAATCTGCATAGGATCGGAAAATTATTTGGTTAGCTAGGATTTTAAAGCTACGGATCGCTACTCTATGTAAGTACGATACGTATCTGATTTTGGTAGGCGGGTCACCAATACAACCTCGTAATCCAAGTTTTTTAAGTAATTAACGAGCCAAAATAAAATTTGTGATCAATTGAAGTAATCATATACATTAAATCATAAGGAGTCGATATTTTTGCAATACATATGAACTCCAAGCAATTGGCCAATCCGGAAAAATAGACAGTCAACAAAATGGTTGCTAGTCATATTGTATCAATCTTTCATTGTCAATCAGGTATAATGATAATTTTGACACGGGCAAGACGATGTTCATCGTTTGAGAGAGGTATCACTAATGTTACTTGACATCACAGCATTTTAGAGACCGGAACGATTTGGAGAACCAAATTGTTATGCAGATAGGTATGTAACACGAAATATACTAAATATTCTGTATTTTGTGAAAAAAGGCATTCATTATATTGAACGATTTTCTTTATTATACACGAAGTTAATGCTTTTACAAAGGTAATTACTGATCTTATATAATTTATACAAATTCTCAAAGAAAAAAAAAAATTTAAATCATTTCTTTCCTCAACTATTTAGGGCGTCGTTAATCAAAATTAGCATTATGAGAATAATTTTTACTCGAAAATGATAAAAAATTAGTCATGTCTGATTGTAACATGTTAATTTTAACAGCTTAGTATCGTTTCAGATCGATTGATAACATCCCATGTTACAATTAGACGTGTTCTAATCTTTATATTTATCTTACTATGCTCCATTTTGATTGACGATGCCCCATTTCTTCTATTTCTCCTTTATGCTCTACTATTTGTTACACATTCATTGCATTAGTATTTTCATCTAATGTTGCCCTCCCCATTAATAAAAAGGGGATAATTTTCATTACCATAGGAATTATCATTGGGAATTTTATTAGAATCCTCATAGATAAAAATGAACAATTTCATTGTTATTAGGAAGGCCTTTTCTGAATTGCTGCAGTTTTGGAAATTTTCGCGCGTAAAGTACAGTAACCAGTAATAATTAGGGTCCGGAATGGGTTGGGTACCTCTAGGCCCAAGCCCGGTGTTATGCCCGAGAAAATTTTCTTTATTATTTACTTATTTTGGTATAGCCTGGGAATGATCATCGTGGCGTGTTGACTCCTGGAGGGGGATATAAGCTCCCAAAGAGAGTAAATAACTTCCAGACGGAGGAAAAGACTTTCAATAGGAGTTTAAGACTTCAATCTAAATTTACGAATATATAAGGGTGTGGTTTCAGTCTGCGAAGGGGAGAATGGTTGTTAGAATGATTGTTAATAGTATTTAGTATTATTGTAATAATCCGATGTATTGATTTATGTTAATAAAGAGAAACTTTATAGCCTGTAATTATCGTTATGTGTGTTAGTTTATCGATTTAAACCCCTTTGACCTTAATCGCTATTTGTTCACAATCGAAGCTAAATTGGTTCAAGACCCTATAAAGCTCTCCCCCGGTCGTAACACCGGCCCGTTAATTTATAAGCCCGACCTGGCTTAAAAATTTGAGCCCAAACCCGGCCCAATTCTAAACTTCACTATAAAACAAACTGGGCCAAGCCCGACCCGTTAAACATAAGCCTGGCCCAATTACAGCTATTATCATAATTCCTGAAACACCTGATAAAAATTAGCCGAATGTTTGGCCGATTCGGTTAAGTTAGTGATTTCGGCATGATCCATTATATAATAAAAATAATAAAGCTATTTTTGTAT